CTATAGAAAGTCATACACAGGCAGAGGGACTCGAGTGGCTGGGGAGACAGCTTAGCAGTTAGGAGCACATGCTACTCCAGAGGTTTGACCGCCTATATCAGGTGACTCACTGCACCTGTAGCTGTATCCCTAGGGCATGTGGTGCCTCCCTCGGACTTTGTGGCCCTGTGTAGACCCACACATGGACCTACACCATACACATAGTTAAAAATATTGAAGGAAACCTTTTAGAAAAAGATTTTCAGTAGAAATCAGAGAATCTCAAAATCAGTGGCAAACTTTTATTTTTATTTATTTATTATTTATTTTAAATTGTTTTTATAGAGTTATGTATTTTCTTCCACTACCTTCCCTTCCTCTCCCCTCCCCTTCTACCCTCTTCCATGGTCTCCATGCTCCCAGTTTACTCAGAAGATCTAGTGGCAACTTTATTACATATTGGTAGAGTCCTAGGAATTTTAAATTTTGATAAGAGCCAGATTTGATTAAGGATATCTATATTCTTTATATATGTATATATTTGGTTAAGGAGATATATATATATATATATATTTTTATTTTTTTTAATTTTAAGACCAAGTTTCTCTAAGTAGCCCTGGCTGTCCTGGAACTTGCCCTTTAGACCAGGCTGGTTTCAAACTCAGGGATTCACCTGCCTCTGCCTCCCAAGTGCTGGGATTAAGGGCATCCATCACCAGTGCTGGTTAAGGCAACAAGAATTCTCATAGACAGTGGGAATATGATTGATATATCCATTTGGAAAGCAATATGGCAGGGTTTAATGTAAGATTAGAAATGTGCATATAGGTGCCAGCTGATGACAGGATGGCTCTTTAGGTTTAAGTGCTTGCTGCCAAGCCTGACAGTGTGGGTTTGATTCCAAGAAACTACATGGTGGCAGAAGAGACCTGGCTCCCACAAGTTGTCCTCTGACTCTACACATACGCCCTGGCACGTCCATACCCTGAAATGCCCAGTGTGCACCCAGTGTACCCCACGTACACAATACACACACACAAAAAAAAGAAAAATTTGCATATAGTGATTTGCATACAGTTCCACTTCCTAAGTATCTTAGAGAAATAGCGGGATTGTGTGCAGATGCTGTACACACAAGAAGTCTCAGAGCAGGTTTTTTAGCTTAAAAAAAATGTATGTGTTTTACTTGAATGTATATCTGTGTACTGGAATTGGATTTTCTGTGGGCCCCTAGCTTACAAGTAGTGACACAGAGACTTACCACCGATGAAAGCTAGCCTTAGCTTAGGCTTGTTCTCACGAGCTCTTATAACTTAAATTAACCTGTTTTACCTTTTACCATGTGGCTTTTTACCTTTCTTTTATTCTGTATGTTCAGTTCCATGTCTGGGTGTCTCCTCTGCGCCTCAGTTATCTCCTCCTACTTCCTCTCTGTGCCCAAAAGTCCCACCTATGCCTCCTGCCTAGCTGTTGGCCATTCAGCTTTTTATTAAACCAATCACAGCAACACATCTTCACAGTGTATTACTTGGGTGTCTGTAAGAGGCCCAAAGAAGGTAATGGATTTCCTGAACTGGGGTTGCACATGGTATAAGCAGGTGTAAGCCACCTGCTATGTGGGAGCTGGGAATCAAACTCTGGTCCTCTGGAAGAGCAGCCAGTGCTCTTAACCACTGAGCCACTTGTCCAGCCTGATCACAGCAATATTTTTAAAGATAGTAATACCCTAGAAAGCCTAGGTATCCAGTTTTAGAAGCATTGACTGTGGGGCTGTTCATATAACAAAGGGAACAACTGTAGCCACTTCTTAGACAAGCTGCATGGTGTAATGCTAAGCCGCGAAGCAGAGCTGCAGAATATATGAATAACGTGCTCTGCAGCGAGGGAGGCTCAGTCCCTGACCTGAAGAATGGAGAACTTGCATCCGTAGGGAGTTCGAGTGTTTCAACAGTTTGTATTGAGAATTACAATGATTTTAAATAGATACTGATAGTACTTATGTTAAAAAACAGAAGAGTCAGGATATATACGAATTTTTTGTCATAGTTGAAGGTGGAAGTATAGCCTCCATATTTCTATCAGAGACCTGTAATAATTTGTATTGAGAAAAGCATTAAAAGAAATGCAAGAGAAATGATCAAAGACGAATAGCCACACCATTGCGCACTAGCGAATTAGCTCTGGGTTGAAAATGTGCAGTGCTTTATAATTGCTTGGTTGCTTTTCTTTAAGTTTCACGCAGAAATTTATTTCGACCATGACTTGCAAAGCTATGTCCTTGTGGATCAGGGCAGCCAGAATGGTACCGTTGTCAACGGGAAACAGATTCTTCAGGTGAGTGAGTATGTAGTGATCGCCTCAGCTTCCTTGTTAGGGCTCAGGTCCTGGTCCTTATAGATAACATTTGGTTCAGATCAGAGTTCAAATCCAAGTGCGTAACTTGGTTGGAAATTTCCAGAAAGGGCTAGGTAAAAAATATATAGTAGATGTTGGTCTGGTGGGTTTTGGCTTTTAGTTTTGTCTCTGTTGCTACTTTTAGGTATTAATGTATAATGAAATTTATTTAGGTTAAATATTATTAAAAAATTTTTGTGTGTTCACATGCATGTGGAGGTCACAGAATAACTTCATGGAGTTGCATCTCACTGGCCCAGGACCGAATGAATATTCATATAAGCAGATTTGGTGCCCCTCTTTTTTCCTGCGTGCTGCTGTGAATTTAGCTCAGGTTCCTCCTGCATATTAAGCAGATGCCCTGCCTCCAATGGACCATTAGGCATCCCAAGCTGCCCTTTGTGCCCTTCTCTTGTGTTAATAAAAATAATGCTAAACTGGGGATTTGCTGAATGCCAGATATCCTGACAAAGCAACTCCAGGAAGGAAGAGAACCGTCCATTATGGTGAGGAAGACCCGGCTGTGAAGCAGGTGGTTGTGTTCTGTCAGTCTTCAGGAAACAGAGAGAAAATGCTAGGTCTGAGCTCACTTCCTCCTGTTTGCTCAGTTTAGGATCCTAGCCCATAGCTTGGTGCTGCCCATAGTTGAGGTGGGTCCTGACAGGCGTGCCCAGAGGTCACCCTTAACACACTACCCGTGGTGTGCCCAGAGGTCACCCTGAACTCTCCACACATGGTGTGCCCAGAGGTCACCCTGAACTCTCCACACGTGGTGTGCCCAGAGGTCACCCTGAACTCTCCACACGTGGTGTGCCCAGAGGCAATAAGCACTTCTAGATCCTGTCAAGTTGATCATCTAAACCATCATGGAGGCCTTGTTCTTGTGCTTTAAAAGTGAAAGAAGGCAATTAAATTCCATGAAGGGATGAGAGGTGGCTCAGTGATTAAGAATACTCACTGTGCAACCATGAGGGCCAGAGTTGTGATCCCAGTGCCCATGTAACAAGTTACACACCTGCCTGAGCTCTGGCTCTGAGCAGTCTTAACCCCCTCTGCATGCACGTGTGCGCAAGCACACACACACAGAGGTAAATTTTTTTAAAAGAGGCACTTTCCTCCTAACATAACTCTCCTGTGATTATATGTTTTGCTAGTAGATTAAGTCCAGAGTGGGCTAGTAGGTAAGAAAATTGGTGAGTTTTAATAAGATCAAAATTATAAATAGCCTTTGGGGAATACTATAGGGAACTGTGGGATTGATCCGAGAGTTTGGTTCAGGGTAAATATATATTCTACCACCAAGTTACTGTCACGGTAGAGTGTTTCCCACAGTTCATCCATCAAGCTGTATAAGTGTGCATGTGTCTCCTTTCCTGGGTTTTCCTCATTATCATCAACATCTCTTACCATAGATAAAATGTAACCATGTGACTATTTTGTGTTTTTTGTTTCATTAAAAATGTCTCATCTAGCCAAAAACTAAAAGTGATCCTTACATCCTTGAACACGGTGATGAGGTGAAAATTGGGGAGACTGTATTGTCTTTCCACATTCACCCCGGCAGCGAGACCTGCGATGGCTGTGAACCAGGGCAGGTCAGAGCTCACCTTCGCCTCGATAAGAAAGGCGAGCCTTTTGGTACGTGAAACACACTAAGTGTGGGTGTGGTACTTTTTAGAACTTTAGTTCACTAAGTGTATAAAATGCAGTGTGGCCTGTTCCTCTCACCTCCCACCCTTCGTATCTCTGCCATGGGCTGAGATAGGTGAATGTGCCTGCCTGTGTATAGTGATGGGGTTTGTGGACAGGAGGCGCTTCCGTGAGTGCTGCTGCAGTGCTGAGCATTTGTCCACTTGTGTGCGGTGCCTCAACTTAATTTCTTTTCCAGAAATTGTATTTTTAAATTGGCTTTCAAAATAGTGGTTTCCAGAAGGGATTTTCCTACATCCTTATAAGGTTTGACTAACCTACATTCTAACCTCTTCATCTTCTCCCATCCACACTTAAACATTTAACCCTTCTTTCTCTTTTTGGGAAGGTGGTGTTCTGAGACAGGTTTTCTCTGTGTAGCTTGGAGCCTGTTCTGGAACTCTCTGTAGACCAGGCTGTCCTCAGACTCACAGATCTGCCTGCCTCTGCCTCCCGAGTGCTGGAATCCTCTTCTCGTATCACATTTGCCCCACTTTGCCCTCCCCCCTCACGGTCCCTTTCTGCCTTCTTGGTCCTGTAGATACATTTAAAGTTTTTCACATAGCAGAGTGAACAACACATTTTGTCTTATTTTATCTATTTATAATTTGAAAAAGACGTTTTGTCTTTTTTCTGGCCCTGGGTTAGGCATCTTGGCATAATATTTTCCACTTGCTGATGAATGGATAGTAAAATATGATATACACAATGGAACTTTATTCTATTGTACTGAAAAATAAGATTATGAAATCTCCAAGAAAATACACTAAGTGAGATAAACTAGTGTGCTTTTTTAGTATTAGTTTTCTATAAAGTTTATTATATTCAAACTCAGTTTTTCCTTTTAGTTGGTCCAGCATTAAGTAAAGAGGAAAAGGAGTTGGAGAGAAGAAAAGCACTAAAGAAAATACGAGTAAAGTATGGTTTGCAGGTAACAATGTTGGATATTGTTTCATTTGTTCAGTGTACTAAGCACATTAAATATGATTAAGTGCTATTTACCATGACTACTTAGGTAATGTCTGTAGCTCTGGTGTTCATAACTGCTGAAGTTGGAGTTGAAAATGTAGCGGTTATGTTTAAGTAGACAGAGTTTCCAATAAATTCACTAAACAGCTGAAGGGGAGATGCAAGCACTGATGCACAGCTGTGTGGACCTGCATTGAGTTCAGAAGTAGACCCAGGTGTTTGCATTGCATGCAGAAACTCGATATTTAAAATGATATAAACGTAATGAGATGGAGAAAGCATGCCTGCCCCTCTCCCCCAACAGATGGTACTAGCTAGAATGATAGGATGGCCAAATTCAAAGAACAGAAACCAAAGAGTGAACAATAAGAACAAGAAGAGTGTTGGTCCATGTTATATACCTTGTAAAATGTGTTACTGATGTAAACGTAGAAATGTAAAACGTGTTTACAAGGTAGTTCACTAGGTAGAGGCACTTGCTGCCAAGCTTGAGGCCCTAAGTTTGGTACTGGGACCCACATGGTAGAAGGAAAGGACTGACTCTCACAACCTGTCCTCAGACCTCCATGGGGGCGGGTTAGCACATGGGTAAACACAAAAATGACTGACTAATGTAAATGTAACAAAGTCTTTAAAATGTGAATGAAAGAAACAAAACTTGTGGGAATTTGTCCCCATCAATACTAGTTACTGAATTCAGGACCTCTAGCATGCTAGCACTGAACTATATCCCTAACCTCAGGAAATCTTTCTTTGAAAGAAAGGATTGGGTTGCTAGGCATAATGGTGCACCCCTTTAATCCCAGCACTCAGGAGGCAGAGGCAGACCAGGCTCTGTAAGCAGAGATTGCTCGTTCATTCCCGGCCACCCAGACCTGAATAATCACACTATATTAATTACAACACTCTTTGGCTGATGTCTCAGGTGTATTTTTAGCTAGCTCTTACATCTTAAATTACCCATTTCTATTAATCTGTATTGCCACGAGGCTGTGGCCTACCAGTAAGGTTCCATTGTTCAGGCTTCTTTCTCCTATGGCAACTACATGATGTCTCGTTGACTATGCCTACTCTCTTTCTCTCTCTATATATATCTCTTCCAGCCTGGCTATATTCTGCCCTGCCATAGGTCGAAGCAGCTTCTTCATTAGCCAATGCTAATAAAACATATTATTTATATAGAGGGGAATCCCACATCATCTCCCCTTTTCTGTCTTATTTTAAAAGGAATGTTTTAACTTTAACAAAATAAAATTATATATAACAAGACAGGTATCAAGTAAGAATTGCAGTTATAATATTTAGTCCATTTACATTTGGCTAATTAAGGAAAATATTATCTATCATGTCTTTTTAAAATTATGTATAACAAGACAGGTATCAAGTAAGAATTGCAGTTATAATATTTAGTTCATTTACATTTGGCTAATTAAGGAAAATATTATCTATCATGTCTTTTTGAGTCTAATGTTTTATTTCTAATTTATCTTTTATTATTACTAAGAAAAACTATAACTATCTGTCTTCAACTCTTCAAAGACCCCAGAAGGATATACTATTACTTAAATAAACAGGAAGTGCATTATAAACAACTTTATAAGCAAAGTTCTAGAATTGACAGAGACCTCTTGCTGCCTGGACAGTCACCCAAAGTTCTTTTGTAACATTGGGGATCCATTGTCAGCCTACAGGCCCATAGTATCTGGCAGACTTTTCCATGAAGCAGGAAATAGGAAGATTTATCTGTTCTGCCTTATACTGGCAAAGTTCATCAGTTGCTTTCTTCTGTGTCCTGCAGAATGTCTGGCAGACTCTTTCATGAAGCAGGGAATCCTGAAGGATCATCTCACTTTCTTTTTAGCAAGTTTCTCAGTCATTTTTCTGTGGCTCCTGCATGTCCAGTTCATACAGAATACCATGAAGCACTCCAGGCAAGAGCAATTTCTTGCCCAAATGGCTAACAAACTCCATAAGAGCCTCTTTGATGCCCATCATCCTCTTGAAGTAGACTGGTGCTGCCAGAATCAGACATGTCTCACTGTTGAGAAAAGTCTAAGTTCTTAAATCATTTTAAATGCCATATTCTATAGGTCTTTAAAGTGTTGAAGATTATCTATCTAACTGAAATAGATCTCTGTATATCTAGAAAACTTAGCTAACGTGACTACAAATTTGACTATTATAGAACACTGTTGATCTGTATTTTTTAATTATACGTACATTTTTAAATGAGCTGCATAAACACATACCTTAAACAAAAATAGAAATATACATATACCAAATTGACCTCAAATTTGTATCAATAAACCAAAGTCTATACTAATGTAAAGTATTTATTTCTATATCCTACTCCTCTTTAAATGAAAACATTTATAAACAATCGTTTGGGGAATTTGGGCATAGTTTTTCCAAAGTGCTTCCAGCTGTTTGTTGGATGAAGTATTTTTAGGGTTCATGGAGACCTTTTGGGGTCTTGTCCTATCAAATCACATTAGCCTGGAAGGAATTCACAGGTTCTCATCCTCTGTGGGAACAAAAGCAGATCCTCTTTTTCAAAGTTACATATCCTTAGACCCAAATTTTGAAGTTAAGATACCTTTATGTTGAATTAATTTATCATCCTCCAGAAACAAATGTCTCTGCAGTCAAAAAATTTAAAGAAAACACAATAATATACATAACCCAGACTTTCTGTGCATTTTCATCTTTACATGGCTCATTTTTCTTTACTCTTTTAAGCTATGACTATCTGTACTCTTAAATTACTTTTATTGTCTCTTTAAAGACTTTGTTTTATTTTAAAAGCTATTTTTTATTACTGTCTATACTCTTTTTTTTCTCTCTCCCACACCTACTGTACATTTTTAAAACATACTGTGTCTTGTTTAGAGGCCTTTTATGTCTGAATCTGTACTATTGTGTATCTGAAATGTTTTTCTGACAAGGAGCTTTTTGTTGTTGTTGTTGTTTTCTTTTTTGTTAAGAGGGCATGGCAAGGACCATCTCCATGGCCCTGCCTGTTTCCCAGTCCAGCATGGTAAAGAGCAGAAAATGGGACAAAGCTAAGAACTCAAAGCCCTTCCCAGGGACATACGTCTCCTGCAAGGGTCTGCCTGCTAAAGGTTCCATTACCTCCCAAACAGCACCACCAGCTGGGGACCAAGTGTTAAATACATGAGTTTGTGGGGGTGGGGGCAACCCTATGTTTAAAAAGAAAAGAAAGGTACTAGATTTTAGCAGACACTTTCCAAAGAAGATACTGTTGGAAAGTAAAGACAACCCCCCCCCCCCCAGAAAAAAATCAGTAAGCGATTACTACAGTGAGATATCAGTGAACATCTATAGAATGGCCGTACCAGTCATTCACAGGGTGTTCAGGAAACTGATGCTCTTGTATGGCTGGTAGGAGTGTTGAATGTGCGGTTACTCTGGGAACACAGTGTGGTAACTTTAAAAGTTAAAAGGGCTGGAGGTGTATCTGTCATTCCAGCTTACAATAGTTTTCTACAGAGCCTGATAGCAAATGTTTGTTCTTGTGCTTTAGTAACACTTTCAAACTGAGAGAGATTCAGATGTATTTTAAATATGGATAAACAAACCATGCTGTAGTCTTATAGTGGAGTACCATTTATAAAATGCAGGTACTGTTGAAACTGGGTATAACCTGGGTGCTACTACCACACCTGGGTGCATGCACCTTTACTTTACCATGAGCCTGCTGTACTGTGTTAGGTTCTTTGGGATCACTAGAGAAGGGGGAAGTAGATTTTTTCTCAATCCTAGGGGTTCAGGCTTTATTATTATGAGTGCACACCTGATGTGTATGTGGGCATGCATGCCACAGTGCCTTGTGGAGGTCAGAGGACAGCTCTGTGAAGGTGGTGCTCTTCCATTTTCATAAGGAATAGGAATGGGGCTCGAGTCTCCAGGCCCCAGGGCGAGTGCCTTTACCCGTTGAGCCATTGAATACTAGTTCATATGACGATAGAAGGCCACAGCAGCAAGTGAAAAGTAGACTTTATTTTCAGCATATTATCTCCTTGTTTTGTTTTGTTATTTTGTGACACAACTTGAAAGCATGTTTAATAACGGACAGCATAGATAGCCACTTGTTTTCCTTCATGTCTGGAGAGTTGCCATTGAACCATGTTTACTAAATTATATTTTTATTTGCTTTCTTTTTTCTCAATCAATGGTTTGTGATGGTTAAGAATACAGACTACGAAGATGAAAAAGCGTTGAAGAATCCAAAATATAAAGACAGAGCTGGAAAACGCAGGGAGCAGGTTGGAAGCGAAGGGACTTTCCAAAGAGATGATGCCCCTGCGTCTGTTCACTCGTGAGTGTTGACTGACACCTGTATGATGGTTCTTCTTAAGTTTTTTGGCTGACTAGTTCTTTTCTTATGGTAAAGTGTCTTTGATAATCAACATGAAAAATGTGATTTTGAGGACTATAATATGACCACACTTTGTATTAAATTGGCTGCATTATTTTTCATTCTAGATTGAGTCAGATTGAATCTTCCATGCAGAAATGAAAATTATAAAATTGTGGTTTTTCTCCCTTGTTCTCAAACTGTACCACTTGTGCACACCAGGTTGTAGCATGAATAATGAAAAACCAGAGACAGATACTGGGGTTCAACCTGAAGATCAGGAAAACAAAGCAGTTAGCCACTGACTCTTACCTCTATCTCAGACCAAAAATAGGTGGTCCTGCCTCCATGAATCCTCAGATTGAGTCTGAATATCAGACCTGTCTCCTCCTGTTATATATTCCTCTATAGTGCTGGGATTAAAGGCGTGCACCACCACTACCCAGCCTCTATGGCTAACTAGTGTGGCTGCTGGGATTACGGGTGTGTGCCACCACTGCCTGGCCTGTATGGATGAGTAGTGTCGCATTCTGCATTCTGCTCTTCAGGCAAGCTTTATTTATTAAAACACAGTATATACCGGTATAAAGTTTAAATAGTTACAGTTGCAGTAACTTTTCCTTTACGGTGAGTAGAATGGGATGCCCTGCTCTGCGTGGAATCAGTTGATGAATGCAGTGTTACACACTAGATGAGCAGGCAGCAGGCAAACACGGTAGCAGTAGAGCATTTCTTACGTTGGAGAGCATGAAGATTACATTAGATTTATAGTAGACGGAAAGAGTGATCAACTTGGCCTGCGTCACTTGGTATATTATAAAAGAAGCTAAAAGTCACTCTCACACAGTGAGACAGTAATAAAACAAAAACAAAACTCTCCCATTAACAAATCCATCACACAGAATGCAAGTAGGGAACAAAGGGCTCTGTTTCCCTTTCATTGGTGCGTTCCTGTGTGTAGAAAGTCATACTGTTCTGTGCTGGCTGTTCCAGCTTGTGGAACTGTGGAAATCCAGCTCATTGAGAGTGCACGTTTCATGGACAAGAAGTGCACAAGTGTCGGTAACCTTTGACCTGTGCTAATCCCTGCCCTGTTCTCCTTCCTAAAGTCGATCTCTGTCTGTCCTGACAGCAGAGCTTCCACTGACTCTGAAGCTTTAAGTGACTGGAGCAGTGCAGTATTCATGTGGCATCTGCATTCTTTTGTCCAGTGTGGCTTTGTTTGATACAGCTTCCTTTCATTGCCATAGAACTTCCTTTATGAATTCCTCAGTCTGTCTGTGTGTGGGTATCTCATTAATGTGAGTTGCTTATGACTTGTTGCCATTAGGTTTGCTTGCTTGCACATATGTCATTACGTTCATTTCCGTTAGTTGCATCTACGGAGTAGAATTTGTGTCCTCTACTTTATGAGTTATCAGGTTTTTTAAAGTAGCTGTACCAGTTACTTTTAATGCAGGAGTTTATTGTGCATATGGCCTTAAAAGTCTTTATAAATCAGTTATCATCTTAATTTTCCTCTACAGTGAAATTACAGATAGCAACAAAGGCCGGAAGATGTTGGAGAAGATGGGTTGGAGAAAGGGAGAGGGCCTGGGAAAGGATGGTGGAGGAATGAAAACGCCGGTAAGATGTGTTTTCTTTCATTCATAAATCTTTGACTATACATTGCCAGGCTCTGGGGCTATAGTAGTAACCCAGAACAGAAACAATTAAGGCCTTTATTGTGTTCTTACTTAACGCATGTGGGTTTTGTTTTGGAAAAGCCTTGTTAGATTTTTTTTTCCTTAAATCAAGTCTGTTAAAGTGTTATTTCCTGAGTCAAAGGTTTTCTTGTGCTTTTTAGTTGTGTGGGTTTCTGGGTTGTTTGTTTTACCATGTTGGGTGCTAAACCCAGGGCCTTAAACATGTTGAACAAGCTCTCTTGCCAAGCTACTCTCTGTCCTTTTAAAATTTTTAAATGGCATTCTTACTAGTCTGGTACTGAACATTGCAGGACCAATTAGTGTTTGTTTCCCTGTAGGCGGATTCTGCATTAGCTGAAGAATTGTTGTGCTTAAGCAACCCAGGGCTCTGTATGTACAATACAAAGAATAATGTCTAGAAAACAATGCATCAGTTAAATTCTGTAATCTCATAGTTGGTAGGAGATAACAGTTTTCTTTAACTCTCTCTCTCTCTAAAGTACATTTGACAGTAGAACTTTAATGTAGTACTTGATAAACTGCCAAAACAGACAAACCACCAGCATGGATGTGTGTCAGTTTTCTCATGTTTATTGCAGCATAATGGGAAGAATGTCTTATTATTAGACCCTGAGTATGTATGGCCTTATCACTGAGTCTTCGGGCGTGTTTGAAGTTACATCATTTGTGGAACCGTGTTCAAGGGTGTCCTGTAGGTAAAGCCCTAAGCTTTACACAAGGCACCCATCTGGTAGCTTCCTAACATGAGAAGCCCTCATCTCCTGAAGGAAATAAACAGCAGTCAGATTGATTCTCTTCATGGCTCTGGGTGCACAGCTTTGGACACTGAACCCAGAGCCTTGTTCCATGCCAGGCAGACTCCCAGGCCTCCTCTACCCATTTTAATGCTTAGTCTTGTATATTTACTTGGGTGAGGCTAGGCCGTGATTTAAATAGACCGTGGCCTTTAGTTTTGATTAGAATGGAATGATACACTCTGCACCATTCCAGTGTGTCCCTCCTGTGTCTGTGGACTGAGCAGTCCAGTATAGCTATGAATGCAGCCGAAATAAAGCATAAACTTACATAAAACATAATGGGACTTTTTCATCACAATTGAAAAGGTCATGGCTGTCTAAGGACCATTTTTTAAATAGAGTTAGCTGTACTTAGGTCTGGCAAGACAGTGCAGACACAGTGAGCTTAAGCTCCGTGGGAAATAGTGTAGTAAGGAGTCCATTTGCTTGTTTGTCCTGGCCACCCAGAACCAAAATAACCACGTAGAACTATTTTAATTAAATCATTGCTTGGCCCATTAGTTCTCGCTTCTTACCGGCTAACTCTTACATGTTAGTTTAACCCATTTAATCTGTGTATTGCCACAAGGTTGTGGCTTACCGGGTAAAATTCCTAGCATCTGTCTCCAGCGGCTCCATGGTTTCCTCCCCAACTCTGCCCTTCTTTCTCCCAGCATTCAGTTCTGTCTTCCCTGCCTATCTATGTTCTGCCCTATCAACAGGCCAAGACAGTTTCTTTATTCATTAATGGTAATGACAGCACACAGAGGGGATTCCCACATCAAAATAGTACATATATTCCTATATGTATTCATGCATTTGACGTGTTTTCCTCACATGAGCCTTTAATATGTCAAAGAATTATAGGAAGCCGTCTCTACCCAGAGTGGCCCATAGCAGGTTTTGGTGTGTTTGGGTTCTAAAACAAGTTCTTTGTTCAACTTTCATAATAGATCCAGCTTCAGCTTCGACGGACACATGCGGGCTTGGGTACAGGGAAGCCGTCCTCAATTGATGATCTCCACTTTCTCCAGAATAAGAGCAAAAAGAACTGGGACAAAGCAAGAGAGAGGTTTGCAGAAAACTTCACAGATACTAAACCTCTGAAAGATGCAACAGGGGCCGTGCCGTGGGTGAAGGGGACTGCAGAATGAAGGTCTGTCACAGGAAAAGCTGGAGCTTTGAAAAGATGTTGGAAACTTTTATTGTACAAACTTGGGTCCCCAAAATGTCAGTGACGGGGGGAGCTCATCAGATGGTCCTCCTGCTCCACACATGTGTGCTTTACAGTTTGCAGAGAGCATTTTCCCTAGCAAGCAGGAGCTGAATGAACTCATGCAGGAAGTAGACTACAGTTCACGGAGCACAGGCGGAGCTTGTCAGACTTTGCTGTTTTACACCGTCGTTTACCATCCCTGTAGAGGGCCACTAGACATGTAAG